ACCCTCATTAGCATAGCAGCTGCTCGCCGAGCGGGGACCCGCGCGGAGGAAAGGGCAGAGGCCTCGAGAATGAATGGGGGCCACGGCTTTGGAGGGGGCAAGAGAAGAAAGACAGACAGACCAGCGAAGGGACGGCCCGACGTACAGCCAAGCAGAAGAATGCGCCCGACAGAGGGGAGGGGAGCGTTGGAGGGGGAGCCGGGAGCCCAGGCCACAGAGGCGAAGCGTGCAGTGGGAGGTGGGGGAGGGCAGCCTCCAGAGACCCCAAGCCCCAGGAGGAGGCTGCGCCGGAGGCCTCAGGGAGGAGCTGTCTGGGAGGTTCGCAGACCTCCCACGGCCCCCTGTCGCCCAGGCCTCACACCCCGGGCTCAGGCTTTGTTCCCCGGCTGCCCCCTGTGTCTGGCACCCTCTCCCTCCTTCAGCTCCCAGGTGGACACCAGCCTCTTTGAGCTGCCAGGCTGCCTCTGTGGACCCTGCTCTGTGCCCCCCTGCAGTGAGCTGCAAGACCTTTGGGGGACAGAGCCAGAGGGCAGCCCCTTCCCTCTCCTTCTCCTAACCCCCCTCCCTGGTCCTTGGCCCTTGGTCTGGCCTCCAAATCCTGCCCGCCCTCCTCTGGCAGGCTCTGTCCTGGCTCCCACGCCTGTTGACTTTAGACATCACTCTTTCTGGCTGACCATTTTCCTGCATTTCCTGGTCTCTCTCTGGCATCCATTCCAACAGTAAACACTTCCTGTGTCTGGCCGGGGTCAGGTCAGAGACAGACAGTTGGACAGGAGCCGCCATCACTCCTGGCTGGGGTGGGGGTGGGGTGGGGGAGGCCCTACCCTTGTCCATTTGGTCTGTCTCCCTTTCTCCTTGGTAGGCCCCCCAGGACTTCCCAGCAGTCCAGCCCCTGCCGGCCGGACCCCTCCACCCTGGGTGTCCTCCGTGCTCCTGGCTAGAACCTTCACTTGGCCTCCACAGCGGACCTGCAGATCCCGGGGGCCAGAAAGAGAGGTCAGCTCTGACTTCTTTCTTGCACCGGCCACAAAGAGCCTTGAGAGGAGGCTTCCGCCCCTGAAGGCCCACCTGGGGAGGGACTCCCAGGTGACACCACTGGCCACTCAGCGCCTGTTCCTGAGCACAGAGGTGCTGGAGACAGAAGCCCCGCTTGCTCGTTTGTTCACAGCTCTGACCCCAGATGGCGGCAAGAGAGCTGGAGTTGTAGTGTGTCTGTTTCCTAGGGCTCTGCCCAATGAAAGGGCCACGAGATGCCCATGAATACATGTCTTTAGGCACTCCCAGAGTCCCTCACCAACAGCCTGGGCCCAGGCTGGGGGGCGGGGGTTGTCTGTGCACAGAAGAGCACCTAGGGAAACAAGGCAGCAAAACCCCACCAGGCCTCCTCCACAGCTGTGGGGCTGAGCAGGGCCTGGCCTCCTTTTTGTCCACGCTGGAGAGAAAACTATTCCTCTGTGAGCAGCACAAAGCCTTTCTCAGTCAAATGGGTCTCTCAGAGGGAGGACTTAAGGGAGCCAATGTCTCCCATGGTGGCAGCCACGGGCCTGGGAGGTGTCTCAGCTCTCATGCTCCACCAGTGGCCAGGGCAGCCGGGCCAGCCGCTCCCTGGGAAGCAGACCCCTCCCCAGCAGCTAATGCGGAGAACAAGCACATTACCTGCAGCTCTGAGCCGGCTTCCTCACTCTGCTGTGGGCAGCAGTACCTGGGTGGGAAATGGAGGTCTGGTCCTGCATGCCCGCGGGCCACCCAGAGAGGGCCCAGGCCTGACTTCATGCTCCAGATACCCCAAGCAAAGTCCACGTTCTTGTAGCAACTCTCCCTTTCGAGGCCTGGCACCCTCAGCCGGCTCTGCTCGCCCGCCCAGGCCGGTGGACATCACCTCCCCTGGGAGCTCATTTGCATCAGATATTCCACTCACCTCTGCGGGTGTCTAAGGATAGAGCTGCCCCCCCCACCTCCTCCACCTGGTCTCTTGGCCTGCTGAGGGGACAGTAAATGCCTACTTCACCAACAGGAAAACGAGCTCAGAAAACCCTTAAGGGCAGAACAGAGTAGATATGCAAAGTAGGAACATGGAAGGCACAGCCCCAAAACCTTCCAGTCTGGAAAGTGCAGTATGTCTCCAGGACGAGGTAGAGCCGCAGGGACCTGCTGACAGGAAGCTGACACCATCTGGCTGCAACAGAGGGGTCTGGGTTACAAGAGACGCCGTTACCTTTGCTGGCTCCCCCTTCTCTGGACCCACTGGTGTCCTCCCCTGCACCCCCTTCTCTTAAGGCCCCAGGGCCCCGAGGGCATCTCAGGTATGTGCACCGAGTCTCTGCTCTTCCTGTAGGTGCCAGAAACAGACAACCTGCTCTGCGTTCCCCTCACGCACACAGGGACCCTGGCTGACACTTAAGTCTACCTTGGGTCTGTGCTCCTCGGGGAGTGGCTGGCTCCGGAGGCACGCTGGCCTCCCCAGCTCCCAGATGCCACCGGTGGACGGAGAGAAGAAAACAGGCCTTTTAGTCGTCAGGAGAGATCAATTATGATGTTCCCCAGATTAAAAAATACCCCTTCTGTGCAGCAGGTGGTCCAGCATAAACCCACAGCGAAGGAAGCCCCTGGTCAGCAGAAGAGGGGCCTGGTTCCTCTGAGGACCTGTGGCATCTCAGGCTGGCTAGGGGGTGGGAAGAACCTCAAGAACTTTCCATGCAGAGGCCTCAGCTGCTTTGCCAGGGAGCAGAGGAAGCGGCTTGTTTGCTGGTTTTGGGAGCTCTCAGGGTGGCCTAGGTCTCCCCCCCCAGCTGTTAGAGGGTCCTCCCCTGGCACCTCACAAATCCCATACATGGCCAACTGGGGCTGGCCCTTGAGTTGAGCCCAGAGCCAGTTTACCGGGCTCTGTTTTTAGGTGAAAACAAGCCAAGCATTGTGTAGACGGCACCCACAAATAACATGTTGCAGCCTGACCCTCCTCCTGGGTGCCAAGACCAAGAAGAACCAACAAACTTTTTTTAATAAAAAAAAAAAATCAATGAAAAATTTATTCATAAATTTTTCATGCTGGGCTACAAGTCTATATCGTACACTCAGGAATGTGCTGCAGACTTTATCCAGTTAGAAGTGATCATACCAGGACCCACACACAGCTTCCATATAAGCCTAGAAAGTTTTAACATTAATTAACATAATTAAAAAGGTATTTGCATCTAGAAAAAATATACAGAAAAACTCCTTTTGGAGTAATCTGTGCCTCAGTTTCAATGTCTGCTTGTTTCACTGACATTATCAATATATTCTTCTCACACAAGGTTTTATGAAAAGCCACAGATGACTGCCCGAGAGTCTGACCAGCCACGCACAAAGGGCCTCCACCCACCTGTGTCCTCAAGTGCTCCCCATTTTTGCACGAAGGGTCAGCAGCACTTCTACCCTGGGGAAGCCTCATTTAAATTTGAATAATTCAGCCTCCCTTTTATTTCTCAGGATCAAAACAACAAGGGGTGTGGGGTTGCATAGAAAATTGGAACCTCGGAGACCAGGAAGGGCGCCTTTCGGGACAGAAAGTGACGCAGAAGCACCGCCTCCGGCCCAGGTCCGCGCGCGGCCCCTCCCCCATGACAGGATTTTCGGATTCGAATCGGGTCCTTGAAGCTCCGGGAGACTGAAGAGGGGCAAAGCAGTCCTTCAGCTCACTCAGCAATTAGCACAAGAGATTCACAGTCTTATAGGTATTTTATAAAAATATAAATATGGGTACATTGTTGCCTTCACAGCGCTGGATACAACGCCCTTTAAAATTGGGTTTATAACCAAGATTCAAAAAATACACCTAAAACTTGGCTTAAAATATGTTAATATTTTATATTCTGTCATAAATGTTATGACATTCAATCGTGGCAAATCCATTTACTTTTTTAAAAAAGTGTGCAACCGACTAACTGTAATAAAACTCACTAGAAAAGGTATGATCCCCCCGGCCCCCCCCACCGCCACACCCGAGCACCCATGCTCCCGAGGAGGCTTTGCAAAGCCAGCAGGTTTGGGGGATTGGTGGCCTCTCACAGAAGAGGGGAGAGGGAGGCCCGGGGCTTCCAAAACTCGCTCGGAACTGTGTGTCTGTGTGTAAGAAGGAGAGACGGGACTTAAGGGAGCCAATGTCTCCCATGGTGGCAGCCACGGGCCTGGGAGGTGTCTCAGCTCTCATGCTCCACCAGTGGCCACCGATCTCGGGCCAGCCGCTCCCTGGGAAGCAGACCCCTCCCCAGCAGCTAATTTCTTCAGTACAAACTTCCAAGCCTATAGTGTTGGGTGTATTTGCAGCCGGGAAGGACAAGACAGAGCATAAAGCACAGGCAGTTCTGCCCGGTG